CCCTTCTTTACGAGGGTGAGCTTGTCGACGAAAAAGCGGTAACGAAAGGTCACCGGCAGCTGTAAGAGTAAGTAATGGTCCGGACAAGCCTTCGACACACGTGCTAGACTGCGCTTTACTCCCCTCCGTTTCGAACACCGGGCAGCGTCGCTCGTGGAGACGGGACACATGACCGTGTATCATCCACTTTTTCGGCGCTTGTTGCGGTTTGGTTTCACGAAGAAGCCAGGATCGGGTGTTAACGCAGGAACTACGCCGGGGATGATATCTCGACGTCCCCTTTCTTACGGGAATGAAAACTACTGCTGTAGGCGTCCCCCGACAAGAACATGTAAAAATAGGATATTCCACGCGTCCCCCCTCGCGCGCTTTCCTCCCTCAGAGGGACGATCGCAGTTCGCCCTCCTTTGCCTCACTTCTCGAGAACTCCTTTCCACCGGAAGAGGTTAATACAGAGGGAAAGATGTGTTGGGGTTTTGCGTTCAGGGGGGTGTTTGCCCAACGTCTTCCTCCGTACAGGGGCGAAGGGGGGTCCGCAAATAGAGACGTTCAGCAAGGAGCGGGGTACCGTCGGGAGGGAAGACCCTTCGCGATGAGGCCGCGGGCGGCAGCATCAGTAGGGGGTGGGGGATGCTCGTTGGTTTATTTACAACACGGACTTTTTTTGTTCTCCTTTGTCTCGCATGAGGGAACCGATGCGGAGGATTCAGTGGAGTATATGCGAGGTATGCATATGCTATCGTGGGTTGACGTGTTGGATGGCGGCACTGGAAGGATGGCGATTATTCGTTTGGTTATTATTGTTTGGTGTTGGTGTTACTATAGTGTGTTTTTGCAATGGTTGCTTCCCCTTGCCCCCCTGTGGCATGACCAGCCGTCACCAGCTAGGCTAGGCGGTCTTCGGTCTTCTGTCTGTCCATTCCATTTGAAGCTGCTGCTCCTAGAACACTTGCTTCTCGGCCTGCCCCCCCTCCCCCTCGGCCGAATGATGACGGATGCACGATCTGTCTGCAAACTTTTGCTGTATTGTGTAGGCACTGAGCGAGCTCATGGAGCGTAGCGTGTCCCAGCTGCTAAGCGTGCGGCGAGAGCACAACTGCACCAAGCTGGACGTGGATGAGCTGAAGCACTTGTGGGATACAACCGTCGCCTTCATCCAGGTAAACGTAACTCCTGCGGGCGTGAATCACGACGGGCATACAGTCATGGCTCCGATATAAGAGAAGACCGTAAAGGAGGGGGTTCCGATGTTAGACGTATGTACGGCGGTGTTGCAGGTGGGTTCCTCAGGCTGGCGCGGACCAATCGCAACAACCCAGCAGCTAGCAGCTAGTTGGTCTATTTTGTTGTGGTTTGACTACTGTATGTTTTGGTGTGGGGGAACACGTGCATCCATGAATGGTCTTACCCGTTGAGAAGAACGCTGCCTACGCACGTCCGAGTTTTTTACTTTGTGTGCCATGATTCACCTTCACCTCACCACGCTGCTGCCCTTTCTGCTTCTCCGCCTGACACTCACCACCCCCGCCGTCCTAGTCTGTGGAGCGGCTGAGCGGTTGCAACGGCTACAAGCTGAGGAGCACGTTGCTGTCCCAGGCCAAGGCGTTCGTCGAGGCTAGGCACGAGGCCAACAAGCAGACGCTCGTCAAGCGACTTGACGCCGAGAAGTGGACGCAGGTGAAGAAGAGTGCATCATCTGTACAACATAACGTTGGGGTCCGCTGGGGTCTTGCGGGTCAAAAAACGTCAGCTGCGTGAGCTGTTCAAGCGTCGGAAACGTTTACTGATGGCAGCTAGGAGCTGACTCTCACACCAACAAATGATTCACTTTCATCTTGCATCACGCCTTGATGACACTACTACTATGCTGTGGTGAGCCTACTCCGGAGGAGCGTCTTGTGCATACAAAGTGCATGTAGCGATGGAGCCAGAGGGGGGAAGGGAGAGAGAGAACGGGGCGGGGGGGCAGGGAGAGAGATCGGGAGAGGCAAAGATCGAGATAACAAAGAGAGAATGAGACAGAGAGGAAAGCAAAAGAGAGAGGCAGACAGACAAGATAGCACGAAAAGGAAGAAAAAATATGGAGGTGATCGAATGCTGCTGCTGCCGCTGCTGCTGCCGCTGCTTTGGCGTGTGTTTCAACGTCCGTGATTTTTTTTCCCGATACCGAAAAGCCATCAAATAAGCTATTGAACATCCACTACCACCCTCCATCTTACACTGACATACCCCAAAAGCGTCCGTAAGGGGTACCCCACGCGAGGGTCCGACATCTCGCTTTCGTTCGTTGTGTGTGTGTTTGTTCAAGTAAAATTATACATGTTGTACGATCACCGAAAGAGTACCCGTTCGAGGCAACACCACAGTCGAATGGCGTGTCTTTGCAGTGAGAGAGTGGGAGAAAGGAACGGCTGGACACTTGTCTTGTGTTGTTTTGTTCTCGCTTGTGCGCTTTTGTTCGCAGGCCGATGTCACCCCCGAGCGCCAGGCGGTGCTTGACCGGTTGTCCAGCGGCCAAGTCTTCCGTCCCTCCGTGTCCACCACCAACGCAAACGGTACCGATGGCAAGGAAGGGAGTGGTGCGGCCGGCGGCAACGGCTACGACAACGGGGGGTTGAGATTGCCGGGGGACCCGCCGGCGCAACCTAACTTCGTGGGGGGTGCAAGGTGCGCACTTTGCGGCAGGCAGCGATTGATGCGATGTTGCTGGTTGGTGGATGCGGAGATAACCTCGATAAGGGGCGCAAGCTCAACGAAGGTCTCGCCTGCCGAGTTCGATTCCCTCTTTTTAACGCACAGCTAAAGGGAAGGTGCGAGCAGCTTGTGTTGTATCTCACTCGTGCCGTATTTCTTTTGCTGCGTTTTCATGCAAATAAAGGTCGGGGGGGCGAAAGGGGGGTAGAGCGGAGCGTCGTAGAGAAGCCGTGGTGGCCGGGGCGAGCTTCAAGGCCGTCGGGAGTGCGCTGCTGGTGGCGGAGATGTCGGCCAACTTCCTGCAGTTCGCGGACCACTTTCCTACCATCGGCACCGACATCCTCACCAGACTTGGCGAGCTGTTGAGGGTGCGTTTCTTCTTCTCTGTTCATCCTGTCTCCTTTTGTGCCTCTCTTTGCTGTTGCCGTTTTGCTTTCCTCTATTTACATTTGCTGTTAATCCTGTTGGTTTTGCGCTCATGATGGTAGCGTTTTCATTCGAAGGTCTTTCCTTCATTGTGTGTTGTCGATTTCGCGTGCATGTCTCTTCACAACATCTACTAGTCGTTTTTGCTTGGTTCTGAAGGACATCCCATCGGTGAGAACTGCTGCTGCTGCTGCTGCTGCTTGTTTACCGGCCCAGAGACTTCCGCTCTTTGCTGCTGCCGCACAAAAGCCTAAAACTCATGTAGTGCAGCTGTTCGTGTGCATACACACGTTTCCCTTTCATACCTGCCCCCCCCCCCTCCCCCCCCGCCCAGGGGCACCGTGGATTGCTCTGCTACCCTTGCGGCATCTAAAGAGATTCGTCTGTATAGAAGGAGACGGCAGGCATACAAGCCAGGGGTGACATCTGTTCGTTAGGCATCCGGTCAACGATATCAAATCCTGGTCAAATAAACACACCTTCACATTCACGCGACCACAAATATCCCCCGCGCGACGATGGACAACCACCCCCCCACCCCACCCCACCCTGCCCCACCCTGCCCCCCACAAGGTGTTCAACTCTCGCGCAACACAGCTGGTTCTCGGAGCCGGTGCTATCCACTCCACGGCCAAGCTCAAGTCCATATCGGCCAAGCACTTGGCGCTCTGCTCGCAGTCGCTTGGTCTGGTGCGGTCTCTGATTCCGTTCCTCAAGGCCGCGCTGTCGACGAGACTGCCACAGAAGCACCACCTCTTGCTGGCGCAGATGGACGCCGTGGCGCAGGTTAGTACGTGGTCGAAGTGTTTTGTACTTCAGTAGTATCTTTTTCGGCGCTTTCCCTTTTATTGTTTTCAGGCTTGTTTTTTACCTCTGTTTTGAGGAGAACGTGCGCAGCCTCAGAAGGGTTACCCACCCGTGATGCAAGAGTGGAAGATATTAATTCTTTCGTGTCCCGTTCTGCTGTGTGAATTTTTTTGTGTGTTTCTTTTCTTGTGTTGGTTTATAGAAACGTATGCCTGGCAGCCCCGCGGTCTATTGGCTCCTCCCGGCTCTATTATTTTTCCCGAGTTCTTGTGTGCGCGCTTGACTTGGATATGCGTGTAGCGGTGTTTTTCCCACGTCTTATGCTTGTGTTTGATTGTCGTGGTGCCGTAGACTGACTGTGCTGTGCAGAACCAATTATCACCGACTTGGCGTTTTTGCCCGTGAAACTTGGCTTTGCAAATGAAGCCCTAGCCGGCTGAGGTGGCATTCGGTGGCGTTGAGAAATCTATTCGATCGTTGGGCCGGTAGCCCCCACCCCCCCCACCTGTTTACTCAGCGAATTAACACTATTCAACACATCCACCACTCGGTTGCCCGCCGCTGTTGTTTTTCTCTCCCCCCTCAGGACTATCGGGATCACCGAGATAAGATCCTCACCAAGTTTGTTTCGATGATCGAAGAGCTCATCGAAGCCCGCTCGGGCACCCTGAAGCTCACCGATTGGGACACGCCCGGAGGGGGGCA